AGCCCCAGCGGCCACCACCACCAAAACAACAAAGTACGAACCAAACTAACGCACTCTGCACAAATTTTTGTCAGTAATTCTAATTCAAAACTTTTAGCTTCCATTTCTGAGATATTTAACTATAAACTATTTTTGGATTAGTATGGTAGATAGACCACTTAACCAAAGAAGTTGTTACATTCAACCCAAGTACAATAAGGTTTGGTCAATGGGCCGCAGGCCTGTGGTCACTGGTCAGTGTGGTGAACTGGTGATGCTGTTTGGTCAAGTAAAGCAGCAAAGAGACTATTCAATTCTCAGCCATCACAGGAAAATCTGATTACCTTTGTAAGTGTTGTCAGCCTGTCACTGTCAGGCCAGTCTGGCCAGATTCAAGTGGGAGCCTGGGAGGTGAGAATGGTATTGGCAACTGGCAAGGAAGGCCTCATGGAAGAGTTAGAGGTAGAGGTAGAATAAATGACATTTTCTGTGATTTTTACTTGTTTTTCCTTTATTGATATGATATTGCCATATACATTAATTACCGTATTATTGATGTGCAATTATCATATTATTGATGCGATATTACCATTTTTTTGTATCTGTAAGCTTACAGGACGGCTCGTAATTTCACATCATTTTAATTGGGTTAAGTGAATTTACTATGGTAAAAAAGATAGTGTAAAACATACCTGAAACAGAAAGGAATGTTTCAGTGACAACCTACGTATCTTTTGGAGAAATAAATCATAGTTTAGGTCAATTACTTTTCATTCTATGATGCCTGGTGCACAATTCTATACATGACATGCTATGCACAATATTGTGATGACCGATGATGCAAAAATTTTTTGATAAGTGTAGTTTTTTTTCACTGAGCAAGAAAAATGTGATCAATATTATTTGTTTTTAATCAATTTTTTTCGTAATTGGAGCCTTTGCTAAATGAGGTTCTACCGTAAATGCGTTTTTGTTGGTGTCCCGAATAGCCCCAGGGGGTGTTCCGAGTAGCCCCGCCGTGCGGAAATGGCTGCCAATTCTTTTTGGAATGAGATAGGCAAATTCTGTCAATTACGTTTTCAAGCCGACACCTGGGTGCAACTTTTAAGTAAGTAAAATTTTTTAATACAGCGAATATTTTTTTTGCTACATACCTTAGCAGTTGTAACTTTACAAAATATAGTTTTTCACCATTTTTTTCAGGAATTTTTCAAAGCAAGTATATGTAGTATTTTTCAACTTCCTTTATACTATATAGATAGGAAAAATGTTGACATTTACGCCACTAATTTTAGTTTTGCAATATTTCAATTAGTTTTGCTACTACAACAGTTTTACGCCGTGTCGGAGGCCTGTCCCGAGTAGCCCCGCTTGTCCCGAGTAGCCCCGGTTGACGGTACTTTGAATTTTGTGAGTACCGTAACTAACTGTTCAGAATTATTCGTACCCTCTTATTCCAGATCATTTATCATAATATTCCAGAAGAACTATTAATGAAAATAGCAGTAGATACACAATAATTGTATTTCAAAATTTGGTGTTACTAAGCATTGCAATATTTTTTCTGCAAAGTTTGAAAATATAATTTTTTTCACAATTTAGGAAAAAACTAAAATTTTGCTAAAAGTTGGAAGATGTCAAAGAAAAAAGAGCTTAATGCTCACCTGGCACATATCAACTTGCTGGACAACCCTTGCTGCTCTTGCAGGGCTGACTCTTAAACAGTCAAGCATATGCTCATCCGCTGTCCACTGCACTGAGGTGCTCGGAACATTCTTGATCACTTGCTTTCTGCACTAAATGTAAATCCCTCTCTTAAAAACTTGCTTGGAGGTGGTCCCTTCCCTCTAGAAGCTCAAATGCAATTGTAGAGGTTGTTGCTACTTACCTTAACTAATAAAGTAAAATTTCTTGTATCATATTTGGAACACTAACCTACTAATTATTATTATTACCTAATTATTTTAACCAACTTCATAGTTTACTCTTGTGAGTATTATATATATTCCTACTTGCACTCTGTGGGAATGATATTATGACAAAATAAATTCCTCCCAATGCACCTTCCTGAGTGCCATCTGGGGTGCAACCAGGGGCACTCTATGCAGTTCAACCTCTATAAGGAGTGCTTTTGTTTGCCTCTACGTAAATTATGATGTTCCTTTTTCTCCATCAGAGCCCAGCCCATATGGGAGTCCTTTTATTCAAGTTTTTAATTGTAAGGTTAGTTAATGGCCAACTTGGCTTCAAGAAGCTCCAGGCTGTGTAGCCCAGGCTGAACCTTCTGCTAGTGCTGGGACTTGTATGAGGCAAAATGTAGGGCATGCCTTAAGGTAAAAACCAATCCAGGGACACCTACTGTAGAATGTTCTTGGGCTACCTCTCTTAGGAGGCCCATGTGTATATACAGGGTCATCAATATATAGCATTACATTGTTTTTTCAAAATCAATACACTTGCAAAACAGTCAAATGTGCCATATGGAACCATGTCTACTGTTCTCCAGAAGGACCTAAAGTTGTCCCCATTCAAGCATGTCAAACAATACCAACTGTCTGCTCAAGTTGTTGACAAACCCCTCCAAAGATCCAAGATTCTTCCTTCCTGCATTCATGATGGCACATTGCCAAACCTTGTTTTCAGTGATGAGAAGATATTCAATGTTGAACACCACTTCAACTCCCAAAATGATTGAATTTGGTTGGAGAATGGGACGAAGGATCCCATGTGGTGACTAGGAAGCAAAGCTCGACCTCACTGAGATGGTCTGGGCAGCCATAACAGAGTCCTCAAGGAGTCCCCTCTTTTTTGTTGACAAAGGGGTGAAATTGTATCAGAAGAACTATCGAGATGCCATCCTTGTTGGTCAATTTTTTCCCTGGGCACAAAAGCACTTCAAAAAACGCCCCTGGTTGTTCCAGTAGCATCCTGCACCATCCCATTGGGCCAAATTGACTCAGGAGTGGCTGTCTGATGAATATTCCCCACTTCATTACCAAAGATGAATGGCCCCCATTGTCACCCAATCTGAATCCTCTGGATTTCGGGATCTGGTCATACCTAGAGAGCAAGGTCTCGACCATTCACCATAGCAGTTTGGACGCCCTAGAGGTCAAACTGATGAAGGAGTGGGCCAAAATCCTGCAAAGTGTCATTTGTGACTCATGTAAGGCTTTCTCTAAGCGTCTACAACTCGTTATTGATGCAGATGGTAGACATATTGAATGAAATTGTGGGAATTGTATCTCTGAACCTCTGCCTACATAAATACATTTTCAAACATTCACAATTGTTTCATTTCATAGTTCTAACCACTCAAAGTTGTACCGTAACGCTAAATATTGATGACCCTGTAGATCGATGTGGGAAGCCTATGCTTTGGGAATCTATTGGCTTGTCGTCAATGTTTTTGAAATCCTTTGTTTCATGAATCATGATCTTGTTAGAATTTTTGGTTTTACTGCAAAGTATCTTATTTCAAGTAACTCGTGCTACAAAGTGTTACCAGTTCTGCTGTGCCGTGTTTTGCGGCCCTGCCATATATTGCGCCTCTGCTGTGTTTCACAGCTCTGCTGTGTTTTGTAGCTCTGCTGTGGTTTACAGCTCTGCTGTGTTTTACAGCTCTGCCATGTGTCACAGCTCTGCCATGTTGCGTGGCTTTGCCGTGCTTCACAGCCCTGCTGTGCTTCATGGACCTGCCGTGTTTTGCAGCTCCACAGTGTCCTATTTTCCAACAGGTTTGCTGTCCATGCTACAACTTCCTGTCTTGGGGTGACATGGATGTGTCTTTAAGGCTCCCATTAAACAACTGTAAGAAGAAGAAAACCTGAAACACTTAATTGATTTGCCAGTGCTGCAGAGCTCATTGAGAGTTAGTACCTATTTCGTTGCTAGTTGTGTACTTGTGTAAGGAGAGCCTAAAGGATAGACTGATATTGTACAATATTAAAGAGATGCCAAAGTATGAGTACAAATATGGCAGAAGTAGAGGTGGGGACCTAATGTTCTGTGAGAGAGCAAATGCTTTGTGTGAATGCATGGACATACAGGTGGAATGAAAGGAGAGAGGATATTTATTTTATTTGTGACAGAGAAGATGGGGAAACTGGAGCATCTGATGATGGAGTGTGAGGCATATGAGAGGGAGAAACTGGTGGAAATGATGAGAGTAATACTGGATGAGAGGAATGAGGGTGATGGAGTGATGTATGAGCAAACGGGAGATGAATGAATTGCAGTGATAGTGGGTCTGTCAACTGGGGTTACTGCTGCTATGACTGAGAGTGGAAAGCAATATTTGGAGAATGAGGGAGAGGAAGAGGTTGATGAGAATGGAGGCCTGGGGATGTAAGAAATAAAGCAGTAATAAAATAGAAATAATTGTATCAATAATAATTTAATGAACACAAATAATCATTCAGAGCTTAAGAGCCTAAGAGGTCATATAGCTAATATAGATGTAAACTATAGAGTGCAATAAATGGGATATAGCTATAATAAACCAAATAAATTTCCTCTTGAATTTATCTTCCCTTTGTTTTTCATCTAACCCTTAGCACAAACTTTCACACCCCACTAGCCTCTCCTTTAATGTTGCCTCTACTTGGCTTGGTCTCCCTTTTTCCTTCCTACTAACAAAATGAACATGCAATGTGAATGCATGGCTGATGGCATGGTAAAAGCGTGACTCTGGAATATCCTTTTTCAGAGTCACCATGCCCAAATCCAAAGGTGGGCCAGCTGTTCCCTATGGCCTCTTACATCTGCTGAATTGTTTGACATTTCTGCTCGACTTGTCGCTCTGATCCTTAAATTATGATAACTTTGTTATTCTTAGTGGTAAAATTGTCAAAAGTTGAAAGAGAGAAATATTAAAGAAAGTGAGACATTATTTAAATTTATAGTATATTTACTAACCACCTTTTTAATTAGTTAGTCCTTATCAATGTATTATTAATTTATTGCAGCTTCTCACTGTTTTTATTAACTTATTTTGATATTATTAAAATTTTTCTTTTTGCAGATCAGTAGATGATAAATTATTAAATTAGCTTTCAGACTACTAAAACTAGTAAGGCAGCCAAGTAGTGTAAAATACAGCTTTATTTTGTATAAACTATTTTACTGTTAGTATGCAACACTGTACGGTAACTCACTACGATAGAAGGTATCACTTTCACCTGAAAAGTATAAATTGATAAGTTATAAAGACCTTGTGATTTCTATTTCCTAAAGTTTTTGTTCATAATTTCACACAGAAATTTAGAATGGCTGGAATGTTTGGTGTAATTGTTTCTGGAAAATTGGTAAGTAATTTAACTTAAACTTTTCTAGATATACTTGAAGTTAATAAAAAAATATATATTACATTTGATGGATCTTAAGGAGGGATCATTTCATAAACATAGTGTAAAATGATGCTTTTGTTAGATTATTAATTTTGTTCATGAATATTTGATCTCCAGACCTCACTGGGAAATGAGCTATGAAAAGAAAATTTGTAAATGTGACTAATATCCAATAATCCTAATCTCCCAAGTTGAAAAATTAGATTTGATTTAGTAAATATGTGCAAAAATAAGTGAACAGACGGCTATATGTGGTAGTGGCAAAGGAGAACATTTTTTTGTTGCCCTTGCTAAAGTTCATTCTTGAGTCTTACAAGTAGAATGAATGGTAAGTTTCTCAGATACAACATAAGAGCATTATCATGGATAAGAAATTGATAAAAATATGGAGTAGATGAAGAAATTAAAAATGAACTGATTTGAAAAAATCTCTGGTTTGCCACTATGCACAGTCATACACTATTGCATAATTTCAAAGCACAGATTTTTATAGACTCTTTCACTAGTTAATTTTTGAGTCCCTTAAGTAGACCAGTGAGGTATCGTGAATCATGGATACCAGCATTTTCATACTTAAGATATTGGTTTAAATTTTGAGTACCGTCAACTGGGGTGACTTTGGCCACTGGGGGTGACTTTGGCCACACCTGCAACAGAAACAAATGGTAGCAAAACAAAATAATAAATGTTGGCCGAAGTGACTGGGGTGACTTTGGCCACTGGTTGACCTTGACCAATGTTTATTATTTTGTTTTGCTGCCATTTGTTTCTGTTGTACATGTAGCCAAAGTCACCCCAGTTGAAAGTACCTATATGATGAAATTAAAAATAAACCGATTCTAAAAAAATCAGTGGTTTGACACAATGCTGACTAGTGTTAGACCAATCTAGTTATCCTGGTGTGGAATATATAAACCTTTTGAGTGTAACTAAAGCTTTCCTACCATTTTTGGTGCCATGAGATACTGGCTGGATGAATTACCTCCTATCCAATTGTTAACATAGGTGTGCAATCAGGACACAAAATTCCAAATAAATGAAAATTTTTTTATTTTGCCATAATTTATTGAAAATAAATATAAAATTTCCAAAAATAAATAAAAAATTTCTAAATATAAAAAAATTTCTTATCTTTGCCAGAACTTCTCATCCTGCCAACCTTAATAAAAACAAAATTGAGCTGTGTGACTGCATCTGTACAATATTACTTACCAATTCTGTTTACTTCATGATTAGAATTTTCTTCATATATGCTTATAATATCGATATTAGGGACTGGGTAAAAGAATTGTAATTCTTTGAGTAAGGTATGGTTGATGCCACCCAATGACTGCTTCAAATTTTCTTTGCTTAACCGCTCGGCCTCCGGCGGCGGGCGGGCAGGAGCCCATAAATAAGCTAGAATTGCACATGTCTATTGAGTTATTTCATGCATGTTCATGGCTCTTCCATACTTTCCATCAATAAAGAAAAATGGAATGACATACCAGTATTTTTGCAGTGAAACAATCTTTTTCTTTGGCAGCTTTTTTTATATGGTTCTTATGTTGTAGATTGTAGAGCAATTCAGAGAACAAATAAATATATTATTCTTTTTCTTATCTTGTAAACACTCTGAATTTTGTATGCCATGGTTGTGAGAAATTTTGTGAAATTGATGCAAGTTGACTTGGAACAAACGATCTAAATGCACGGTTTAAAGACATCACAAAAAATGTTACAAACAAAGGATTGTGTGTTGTGTGTTATCAATTGATGTTGCCATTGACAGGAACTGTGCTTGCTATAAGAATTGTTTACCTTTTTTCTAAAAAATTTTTTATTGAAAATAATAGTGATAAATGTTGTGATTGATGAATTTATGACATTTATGTATTATGAATTTGCTAGATAAAAATTTGATTTCATTTCAAATGCAAATTTTTGTTTGCTATTCTATAAAGATAGACCTATTTATTTCCTTTTTTAAAATACAAATAATAACTTAATTTCTATAACATCTGAGATCAATGCTTACATAGGTAAGTATTTTTGTCAATGTTCTTACAGCAATACACTATTAAAGGCTTCAATTACTATGAATAATTTTTTCAGGTTCAAACAAATTTCGAAGCTGTTGGTGATACCCGTTTTGTCATAACTCTGCCTGATGCTGATAGTATCAATCACGTCGTGGTGTTCATGACTGGAGCTCAGCCATTTCCTGATGACCTCGGTGGAGGAGGCAAGCTACTTTTGATTTAAAAATTCACTATTATTGAAACATAAATGGTCTTGTTAATTAAATAATTTAGTTTAAAATTGCTATTTTAATCTAGAATTGATAATGTCTCTTATTTAAAAATTTTACCATGCCTGTTGAAAAAACATTTGATTGCTATTGGTCTGTATTCAAATGTATTTAATTTTTTCACCAAGCAAAGAGGTCAAAGATGGTCAGCTTCTGTTAGAAATATCACTTTCTTCCAACATGTTTAGTAGAATAAAAATATGAATTTTCTTAATTGCATAGTATTTTTTATGAATTTAGCTGCTTTAAGTTTGCATATTGATTATGTATATTTCTAGAGGGTAAATGGGGGCAATATTAGTTTAACTTCCTCCCATAAAAGGGGATAAAATTGAAAAGATTATATTCACCGCCTTGCAAGAAGGTTGCTGAGCTAATTTTGGCTGTCCCTGCAGTTTACTTCAGCTGGCCATCACCAGATGGGGCTCCTGAGTGGCATTTCTTAGGTACCATCACCAATCAGAAACCATCCGCCATCTTTAAAATCTCAGGCCTGAAGAAGACATCAATGCCATCGGAGAATCCCTTCCTGCTTTCACATCCACAGCAAAGCTCACATCATGCCCAGATTGGTATTTCTGTAAGTAACTATTTTGAGGGTATAAATAAATATATAACCTTTAAATGAATCGTGAATTATAAATATACACCCACTGAATGAGTCGTCAGTCCTGAATTTTAGTCACTGTTAAATTTTCTTGTAGAAGATATATATTGCAAGAACCTTGTAAAAAAGCAACTCTAGCCAGGTCATGAAATTGTTATTTTTCTTTTCTATTTCAACAATAAATCTTTTTCAAATATGATGGTTTAATAAATATTGTTACTTCAGTTCATGAATTTCCCACTTGTTGCTTATATTTTTGCCCAATGCAACAGGTAATGTCACAAAGAATGAGTTTAAAGGATTGAATTAGCACTAGAACAAACTCTGGATGAAGCAGCTTGGACTTTGTTTTCAATTTATTTCTTCATTTTAATATCTGTTCTATGTTTTTCAGTAACTGATCAGTTTGATGATAGAATCACATAGATTCTGTTGCTTGAGATTCCTGTGTACCATACATACACGTTTAAACTGGATAAATTATACGTTGATTGCTATAAAAATTAAATGCTTCTCATTTTATGAGTTTATTTGTCAAATCTATGTTTAATTTGTCATGGTTTAATAAATTGTGATGCTTTTATGAATATTTTGAATAATAATTTAAATTATGACTGTAATTATTACAGTAATCCATAATATCCACAAAATAACTATCCTCACAACTATGCGACGCCTAAAATTATATCATTAGTTTTTGATACTATATACTGAATGCAATGCGCAGTTCTTGAAAATAGAAAAGAATCTTGACATTTTGTCTTTTCAGGCTGAGCCTCTGTCTGTGGTGTGCGGCCTCACGCCCGCCACAGACGCAGCAAGCACCCAGAGCTGGCAGCTGGAATTCGCCCGCTCTATGTGCGAAAACCTTCACAATTACAGCGCCAGTTACGCACGTTCTATCCAACAACTGCCTTCGGCCGGCTATGGTCCGAACGAGACCTTTGTGCCTTTAAGTTCTTTAGTAAATTGGTACAACAATTTCACAAGGAAACTACACCAGAACACCAATTTCTGGAGATCATAGTTGCACTGTTTCAATCTCAATTCTAGATTTTTTTTAGCACAGTTGCGGATTGCTTCATGTGTAAGAGTGTGTTTTCGCTTCACATGCGATGCGATCTCTTTGTGTAGATCTGAAATCTTCATGATTAGGATGACGTCTGTCGTATGTTTGTTTGAACTTCAAAAATTGCTGTAGGTATTGATAAGTTATAACAAAAATTCTGCCTAAATGATGAATTGAAGTTAATTGAATGGATTATTAACGTCAATAAAACGTGAAAATTTGGTGTCTCAAAAATTTCAAAATGAACGTGAACCAACTTGTGTACATTGTACATGTTCCATTATTTGCAGATGCACAATTTTGTCATCTATTTTCAGCTTCTACCGGGTAATGAACCAGCAACTATTCATGACATTACGCAACGCGTATTTTCAACATGTTTTTTCGTCAATAATTTTTGTTCTCCAATAACTATCTGATTCACAGCTGATGGTGTAGGTTATTATGCACTTCCACCAACTAGAATTCGTGTGATATGAAATCGCTCGTCAATGAAATCTTAATTAAATTTCCAACTTTTTTTCTTGATAGCCCTGTAATTTATAACATCGGCGGTAATACTTGTGCATAGCGGTTCCATTAAAATAGTCAGGAAATTAATATAAGTATGAGTAAGAAAATCGAATTCGAGCAGTTAAAGGAACTTAATTTGGTATCTCACTGATAGCTGGCTCGACTAACTATGCTGTTATGTACAGAAGTGTATGAAGAAGAAAAGAAATTAAAGCTCAAAATCAATATATAGTTTATTGAAAAGGGATTGATCATGTTGACTTACATCAAAAACTCGCTTGAAAAAAATTCATTTCTGTGAAAAATATGCTATTTTATGACTTGTACCGCCATATGGCTAATCTATTGTCTCTAGCGTTATATTCTAATTCTTACTCTTCTATTATAATGCCCGTAAAATATTATTACGACTCCATTTGGCAGTAAATATTAATCTTAAGTAAGCAATTAAAAGTAGATTCACTGAGCACCGTCGCATTTTGCAGTTATTGAAGAGTTAGCATCACTAGGAATGGGAAGAAATTATGTTGAATGAACAACAATTGCGGAAGTATCTAAGAGAGAAAAAGAACCGCCTGTCACTAATTCCGCTAATGAACTGTAGAGAGCAAAATATGAACTGCACAAGATTAGAATTGAAGTAAGTTGAAAGACATGAGTTACAGCAAACGTTTCAAGGTTTGGGACAAAAACACCACCCTGACCACAGGAACGAGAGGAGACATAAAATAGCACCAAGACATACAGAATAAACAGCAGCAGTGTTTACATTAGTTATCAGCCTATAAGAACATTGCCTAACTAAAAACTTATGCTAAAGCGTACGCAATCCGTTGATTATCACTAAGCAGAAATCTGTATTTTTGTTGTTAGATTAAAATTAAAGCACCGTAAACGTTGTGGCGCTCAAGTTTTGTCACACTGGTTAAATTACACAGAGCTGCACGGTTGCAAAAGGAAAAAATCACAATACACATCTTGATGAACCGAACACGGGGCAAAGAGAAACTGACAAAGAGAGCAAATGGTAAAATTATTTTGAACACACTTCACGTTGACGAGATACACTAACTTAAATCAAATAAAACTAATTTAAATGAAATAAAACTAACTTAAACTGGAGTCTTGTATGTTGAAATTGACGATATTTTTGTGCTAATTCGATATTATAATCAAATCGAGTGCTTCCCCTCACAGTAATATTTTCAAGATGTCTTATATAATTCTTAAATTTATCTACCTGAAGCTAAGACATTGTCTAATAACAGCGATGGAATCATATATACTGGAAAGATTTTACCTAGAATGTTAATAAAAAGAAATAAGATCGTATGTGTTTCACCATGAAGGCAATTAGTTTGAAATCACAAGTACAAGTTGAGAAAGCAATTGATAGATGTAATAGCTTTAGCTACATTGGATCAGAATACAGAGCCTATTGAACAAGTTCGGGGAAGGATTTAAAACAAATACAATTCCAACAGAATTACGTTCAACCAACTATAAAGTGCACGTTCTAATTTCGTTCCATTCCATCGTCGATCATAAAAGGGCAAGCATTGAATTGACAAGTTTCGGGGCTTGGGTTAAACAAGTAAATACTATTGGATGCATTTAGGTCGGAATCAATTCAGCTTTCAGTTGATTGAACAAAAAACCGCTCACTGTAGATTACCAGCTCGCTGTCGTCAGTCGGGCTGTGTAAGTGAAACCCGCGTTGATGCATCTTTTGCTTGGCCATTGCTGTAAGTAGCCTTGAGCTGTTGGAAAATATAATGATTACATGCACGAATGATGAAGCAAATCGTTCAAATATAATTCCGTTCTCCAGTAGGTGAGCTGAGGAAGTTGTTTCTATCAAAATCAGTAACAGGTCGAGCTCGTCAAAAATAGGTGTTACCAAAATTGGCAACACCTATTAGGTGTAACACAAAGTTGGTTTTGGTTGGCAGGTGTTACCTCCCAACATTACCAAAGCGCCTTTACTAATGAATTTGAATTATTCACTATTATTTCAATTAGTTAAAGCCCTTATCTCCTTATGAGCACAAAACTGAATGCTAGGCCACTTTTTGTAGTGTAATGCCCGAGAGAACATTGCCTGGCGGCGCAAATATAACTCAAAGTTTTATCTACCTGTGTATAAAAAGAGTAGGTTATGCATCTAACTCGTACATAAAAAAAGTAGGTTATGCATCAAACTCTAATAAAAAATAGGTAGTTACGCAATAAACTCGTCTTGATCGAGCGGTACATGAACTCATTAGATGACTGAGAGACGTAGGGAGCAGATTGATGTTAACGTACCGCAGGAAGAAGCATGGACACTGGGGGCAGGGCGGTCAGGGGCAGGGGCAGGCTGTCGACGATCGGAGGAGGCGGCTCTGGTACTTCGTATTCTGCACATAAATCATTGAATATTTCATCAAGTTTGACATATATCCGGGAGTACAAAGTAAATCCCATGACGACGATCATGAACAATGACGGTTGAAAAATTATTTCAGCCTCCAGAGCAGTTGATAAGCGCACACTGAATGAACCATGGAAAGATTGGCATTGAAGCAGTGCCCTTAGCAGGGGAAACTTTTTCAAGTACTTAGCACTAACAAGATGCATGCTAAAAAATTAAATCAGTATATTAGAGAACTTATTTTAAGCAATCATAGTGCGATACTAAACAACATGAATTTAATTAATTACCACGAAATGTGTCCAAGAATCGTTTGAAGCAAGAGCGCCTTGTCGTCCTATCTCGCTGCACCCAAAGCCCGTACGCAAGGCCGACCGCGACCATCACAAACATCCCAGAGAACAACATCACCCCAATCTGACTGGTTTTCGCCCAAGTCGCCGCCATCTTTTTGTCACGCTCCTCGTCAGTTGGGGCGTCAGTACCGACACCTTGTTCATCACTGTTATCAACTTCATCGCTATCCTGACCCCTACGGTTCTCTTCCATCTTGTCGTGTGTCCACCACAAGTGCCCGTCTGAATTTGGAGGACCTTGTTGAGGCTCAACCGCAGGGCCGGATGCTGCAGCTTGCGCCTCTTTTTCATGTGAGCCTAGGATGTCGGAAAATGTTTTGATCCAGAAAGAGAGTTATATCGTGAGTTAGAATAACATTGATATGAATAAAGAAGAGTTATGGGAATAAGTTCTTGTATACGTTGGCTGCATTAAGAGAGCAAGAATTCATTTCTATTTCACTTTTACTTGACCCAAACTATAAGAATGAATCAAAATTATCATTGTTCAAAAATACCGTGAAAATTAGATAAAGATACTACAGTACCTCCGTACGAAAATAGATTTTACAATACTTTCAATGCCGGGCTTCAAGATTAATCTGTTGATATGTATTTTAATATAACATAAAATTCTTTTAAAGAGATATTTTGGGCAACAGACTTGCACATTTTAGGGCCCATTCCGGTTTCATGAATAAATAATGTACAATTCAAAGGAACTTTAAATATATAGGGCAACACAAAAACATAGCAAGATCAATCGAGGCTCAAAAAACGACTTTCAGCAGAATTTCCAGACGTCAAGAAACGTACGGTAGTTTGGGAGCAGAATTTTGGGCGGTGAAGGGAGCGACGAGCCCGCCAGATTGAAGGCCTGCACTCTCAACTCTACGCCGTGTGAGTCGTCGCTAAGGTGGAGGTCAGTGAGTACGATAGACCTCCGATCTCCTCCCAGGAACTGCCGCTGAACATACAAACTTTATTTGAGTGAACATACAAATTTGATGCTGTGACTAAACATATAAACTTGATGTCATCTCTGTTGGAAATTTTCTAGAGGAAAAAGTAATTCAACAAGTTGATAAAGGCTTCTAAATAATATTCCGATATGACACAAAATCCAGACGGGAGTTTGAGAATGGTAGGTGGAAATTAACATTTGACAAAAATTAAAATTTCTTAAGTGAGCAAGTAAGAAATGAAGTAGAGTCATTGACAACATATTTATAACAACAAAGAAAAAAATCTGGTCAAGATTTTAGATTAAAAACCAACCTTAACGAATGCTTCAGATGATTTCGCAGGTCGCGATAAAATGTAGAAACCGTCGACTGGAGTGGCACGGCTGCCACTGTAGCGCCACAACACTTCAGCCTGCCGTTCTACTGCGTCTGTCACCCACCGCGCGTCCTGACCATAAAATTAAGACTTGTGAAGCAGATTATCTTGCGTATGAAGATGCAATTAAAGCTAAAACAAAATCACTTGTAATAGATACGCTTTTATTCGAGGCTGGTTTGGCTTGAAGATTAAAGTCAAACCAGCCTGAACTCCATCTTGCGAATTAAATTAAATTATATAACGTCATTGGACATAGGTACAAGTTTTAAAAATGTAAACCTGGAGCGATCCAAACCTATTCCATCCACAACTGAAAGCTAAAATCAGCAAAACACGACATGGGACTAAAGACTCACGGTAATGTCCGGCTGTCCGTCAGGAGGCAGCAGCGGCTGCTGATGCTGTAGAAGGAAGCGCTTGGAGCTGCTGCTCACACGCTGCTTGTCGTTCGCGAACACCGCAGCCACGCGGAACTTGTAGGTCGTGTTGGGCGTGAGACCCGACAAGAGCCACGAGTTGCGGTCATGTGCGATGTTCACGTCGTCGGTACGCCAACGACGGCGTTCGTGTCCGCGCGGCTCCCACGGATTCTGAGGCCCTAGAGGCGCCGAAGCTTGTTCAGGCACAGCTTCATCTACGATGCGATACTGTATCTTGTAGAAGCGTACAGCAGAGGGAGATCTTTCCCAGTCTAGTCTGACGGTGTCGTCGGCGACTCTAGTGACGGTAGGACGTGATGGCGGTACCGCATCGTTTTGTTCGTCAGGCATCCTTTTCTTGCTTTCCTCGGAATTGCTTGAGATCTTGTGAAGCGTGAGCACCGTAGCAGGGGTGACGGTCAGCAGGGCATGTGACGAGGCGCTGCCAACTGCATTGTGGCCAAAGCACTGCAACACACCAGCGTCTTGTTTGCTCACCGAGTGCAGAATCAATTCCCCATCTGAAAGACCACATACAAAGTGTTGGGGCTACTCCCTATCAGAAAGGTCTGCGTAAACTTTTGAACTTGGACTACCAAAATAATTTACTATCCATATGGAAATTTCTCAAATTTCTCTTAGCTTGCCCAAACTAATGAATACTAAGATGATAATAACAACCTTATATTCCTTTGTAAATAAACGAAATTTCGAGCGGAATAAACAGGCCAAATTGAACAAGATGAAGTAGTTAGTACTTACGAGGTAGAATGAATTGGTATTTTTCGCCGAATATGAAAGCATTTTTATTGCTCATAACGCAGTATTACTCATACAAATAAGTTAAAATGAACAACAAATCAGCCTGAATAATTGAGAATTGATGCCCAGCCTAAATTCTTCTAGTACAGTATTGCTCATCACTGACGAGGCAGAATAAGGCGACCAGGGCCAGGCTGCAGTAGCCGGCCATTGCTGAACCAGCTGAGCTGCGGTGCGGGTTGCCCTGTCATGGCGCACGTCGCACGAAGTTCCTCCCCTTCACCGACCGCCATAGACCGCAGCCCTGCCACCACCCGCGGGGCAGCTGTGCACAACACTGATCATTTTAGACATCGCTAGTACCTGTAGCCAATCGAGGTCACAATTCATACCTGTCATTTGTATGAAGTTGGAATGAGTTGCACCGTATGCACATGATAAACTGAAATATTCATGAGAAATTTATCCAATGAGATACTTTGAATAGAAATAATACTAGATTACTTGTAACTGCCAAATATCACCTTGCACATAAAGCTGGACCTCAACAGTAAGCGGTGCACGAGATTCAGCGTGGCATGTATAACGTCCAGAGTGCCGAGATGTGACGTGCTGAAGATGCAGAAGACTGTCCCCAGTAATATTGCTCAGACCCATTGTGTCAGGTAGATCTTCATTGACACGCAACAAATGACTGTCCTCAGAAATATCTGCAGGCTTTTCGGTCCCAAGTTCAGCATCAAACTGCGGCTTTGATGAAAGAAGAGATCTTGTCCACCAAGTAACAGACTTTTTGAGACCGAGACTTGTGATGCAGTGCAGCTCAACATTGTCACCTGTTTTTGTTGTAACCCAAATTCAGTAAAAATATTTTAATTGTAACGATGCAATTTGAAAATAATCCACAACATGTCCAACATATTGCAACCCCATGATACATTATAGTGAAATATAGGAACTGAAACCATACATCAAGAAAAAAAATGTTAATGATCAAACTAATCCAATGATATGAAATGACAAGAATGAAAACATGAACATTAATCTACCCCCCCCCCCCAAAAAACAAACCTTCCGTCACAAGAACAAGGCCAGGCTTGGGGCTGATGAGCTGCAATGGTCTGTCAGCTTCATCAACCTGGAAGATTTACAGTGTATGATAAAAATATAACTCATTAGATTTCATCTAAAAGTATCAACTAGTTAGAATTTGATATCTTAGGAATAGGAAGAATCGAGGCAATTTCACAAATTCTAAACAGAAAATGAAAATAGTTAATATTCGTAGCATTGACTTGTAGTTGCTTCAGCTGTGAAAGAAAACGCAAATGATTGTACCATTTTGAAACCATCAAGGCTCTTCTAACAGTAAAACATGCTATTACATTTAAATTAGTATTCGTAAGATAAGTACCGTACTACTCATAGAGCCCTTTATTGAAATTTGTTTTGAATTACTAATAATATTTTGCTAGGGATTAAAAAGAGTGTATAGTAACAATGCTAAGTCAAATTGTTAAATAATGCGATATTATGACAAAAATTTGACAAATTAGTGCTTTAGGTGGCATGTTTTCTGGATTTAGTGAAACACACGGGAACAACATGAAGCTTGTAGACAGCAGGACATATTCGCGTGATCTTGAGCTCAGAATTAGTGACGCTACAGCGATAATCTCCGGACTGGTCAGCAGATACGGAGAATAGAAGCAAGTCACCTTCAGCAGTCACGATAAAAGATCGCTCTGAAAAATGAATCATACTTCAAAATAGAGCATTTGATAGCGGGAAAAAGAAAATAACACAAGAGCTACTACATTAGTGCTCCAATATGCAATAAATGGATTGATCCAATGTGCAAGTTGTACTATTAAAATTCATTAAGTAGGTAGGGTACGTGTCATAAATCCATTACCAAATACAACCAAATAGACCGTTTACATTAATACTGCACTATCTGCACTGATCCAATTTTCCTTAACATTTTTCATAGCTTAGCTAAAACTATCAATGAACAATATTAATACACAAGATTTGAATTGAAGAAATGAAAAACACAAAGCTTAAAATTGTACCTGCATCTGCCTCGAGAGGAGCACCATTTTTAGTGAAGGTTATAGTAGCAGGAGGAGTTGATTCAGGCTGTCCACAGGGAATTCGTACTGAACTATCCACGGCAGTTACAATGGTTTGTGACAACACTCCTGTTGGAATATCGTTTAAATTATTCATCATCAATTCATAACTTACTATCAATCAGAAAGAGTAAGGTATTTAAAATTAAAAAAAAAAACAAAATCAAGCTACCTGGAAGTGTATATGTATATTTTTCCATTGAGGTGAAACGGTGCTTTTATGAGACAATTGATCTTCAGCAGCTGTGTTTGTTCTATTGGCAGGGGTAAAAGAATGCTTAGGGCAAGGCAAAGTTGGTACGGTAGTGAATTCTCTTAATACAAATGCACATAATTTTGGTCCAGCCTTGACACAACTATAAAACAGAAAATTTATATCAGCACAGGCAGTGAGAGAGGCACAAAAATTAACAACAGAAGCTACATATATATATATATATATAATTGTTCCATACAATAGGAATTGGAATGGAAATATTTGACACACCAGTATCTTGACATCAAATTCTGAACCAATTCTAAAATTCAATACAAGAAGAATTAGGTAGATAAGCACCTACATACAAACCAAAATCAATCCATAAGAGAGTGGGTACCTAGCAAAAGCACTTTATTGCATTTGAGAAATATGATTTATAGAGCAAGTGACAAAGCAAAATGAAGCATAAGATTCTTACCAGGACATTCCGCAATTTTGGCCACTTCCAGTCTACTTGGTGAAGATACAAAGCTGATGGTTCCTAGAGAAGCCACGCACTGCACAGCAACATGAGATTGAGTTTATAGTAATCATCAATTCTTAATAATCACAAAGCATGAAACTTTTCAGGGAGTGCTGCATTTTACTTAAAAATAAGCATTGTAATTTCAAAAATTGGCCTTTTGACTTTCCAGCATTGCAATTTGAGGTTAAATCTATGCACAGATGTCTCAAGCCCCCTTGCACAGTTATGTTATTTTCAGAATACATAAGCTGATGCTAAGAAATTAGAAACATCTCCATTAGCAAGCAGAAGCCATTTAAGATCTAATTAAGATCCTTATCCTCACCTTGATTGAAGTTATGTACTATAAAGTTACACTTAACTTTTCATTGCAGGAAAGTAAAATTACAAATTTCTTACTTAAATCAAAACCTTACCTCACTCCTGCTGAATAGTTAAAAACTAAAAAGTAGTTCTCTACTTGTCCAGCCTTTAATCAGGAAGATGTAACATTTCTTATTTAGAAGAAATCAAAATTAATCAACATTTACCTGGTAAATCCCTTCTTGATGAGCATATTGTGAAATATTTTCAGAAAGGAAAACCAGAAGGTAGCTTATATCATTCACAATGCCCATCATATATTTATTTTTGAGATTTGTTCTTTCAGAAGCTGCATTTTCTTCTTCAGCTGCATTACCTAATGAAATCTCGGTGGCATCAATTATACAGTGTCTAGACCCATTACTTGAGAGCCCTTCAATAAGTTTGGTAATCTCTGCATGTTCAGCAAGAATGATATCTTCACTGGGGATGGCATGGTGATTCAAGTGCCACTGTATATCATCCACTGGTAGGTTTACTGCACATGATAGAGCCACTATGGAGCCAGGAATCCCAAGGCATTGTTTCACTGGATGCTGAATGAACTCCAAACCCAGCTCTGTAACACAAAAAAAAAAATTTAGGCATCCAATACAAAGACTACCAAAAAGATTAAAATATTTCATTACAATCAATGAATATTAGAATAAATTTAAAATTGAACAGTGCATTTTCTTTTCAACACAAGTAAAATAGTAAATAATGAACTTTGATTGAGTAGTATTTGAAAAATAAAAGAGTGATGGAATCATGGAATTAGAGCCTTAGCTGAAGAGCAGGGAGTATAGGTATATACATAAAAAGTGTACACATTATTTGCTATTGATTTATCAACTCTATTTAGTTTTTTATAGTATCCTGTTAATGACATAACACTTTTTAACTTACTTAAGTTTACCAAAATCATATATATATGTATTTGTACCAGAATATTTTGAATTTTTCATCCAGCACAAATAAAACCATTCTCCTTTCCTACAACTTGCACTAGGCTAACAAGGCAATGAAGAGACTATTTGCTCATTCAGTAAAAATTTACTCATTTCATTTATGAAAGACCTGAGCTGTTATTCTTTTCCCAACATCCAATGCAGGCCCAACAAGTCAAAGTGCCAAAAAAAATTTAAAACAGTAAACTACCATCAAACAGGGTGATAAGGGAGAGCATGGTAAATCAGGACAGTCATTCCACATTTTGTAGAAATGTTGTAGCAGTTAAACTAATCAAAATACCTATTGCAAAACTAAAAATAGTGGCATAAAGTTCAACATTTTTACTATCTATGTAGCATAAAGAAAGTTAAGATATCATACATTTCCCACCTCTAAAAAATCCCTGAAAAAAAGGGTGAAAAGTGAGATTTTGGAAAAGTACCTCTGCTGAGTTCTGTAGCAAAAAAAAAAAAATGCCGTATTAAAAAATTTTACTTACATGAAAGTTGCACACAGGTGTTAGCTTAAAAACATGATTGACAAAAATTGTGGATCTCATTCCCAAAAATGTAACTTGGTACTCACTGCAGTGAGTGACTGAGAGCACATTTTTTCATCGACAAAAACTTGAAATCACGGAAAGACATGACGAGCACAAAAGCGCATTGTTTTCCATAAATGAGAAAATGTGCTAAAAATGGAGGCCTTTTCCACAAGACAAGGTAATAAGGGACACTCCCCAGGGTAATAAGGGACACCCATAAAAACACATTTACAGAACCTTGATTAGCATTGGCTCCAGTTAACAAAAAATCAATTAATAACACAAAATTTTTTATTACATTTACCTTGCTCAGCAAAAAATTTCAATTAAATAAAAATTAATGCATCATTGGTCATCACAAAATTGTTCATAGAATGTCATAGATAGAAATGTGCACTTGGCAACATAGAATGAAAAGTAATTAACCTAAACTATGACTTATTTTTTCCAAAAATATGATGGTTGTTGCTAAAATATTCCTTTTTGTTACAGGTACGTATGTTTTTTATGATTTTTTTTGTTATAGTGAATTCACTTGACCCAATTAAATGGTGTGAAATTACAAGCCTTCCTGTAAGCTTACATATACAGAAGAAATGCTATACAGCTGATGATTCGAAGCTTGCAGTGGACAAGATTTTTGTAAATGCTCAATGGCATGTTCATGGATATGGTAATATCACATCAATAATACAGTAATGTATGGATACGGTAATATCAGAAAAAACAAGTAAAAGTTATAGAAAATGTCATTTATTTTACATCTAAAAAGGAAGAGGAGGACTTCAGAGTACTGTTAGTAAAGAATGAGCACACTTTGCAGTATGCCTGCTTCAAACATTTTAAATTAGGCTTTATTCCAAGTGTCCCAGATTACCTACCCTGTTCCCAGAGGTAATTTGGGATGCTTTTATTTTGCATCTGGCAACCGGTACCATGCAATATCATATGGAATTTGTTTGGAGATGCCATACAAACACAATAGCCCTCTCAAAGAGCTTTAAAATGAGCCTAAACTTGTTTATGAAATGTTTTATGGTAAGATGTCATTAACAAAAAATGCTCAAAACCATCCCTGATCCCTTATTACCCCAATTGACCGTACCAGTCACTGAAGACAAATACCGGTAATCCCAAAATAATTGATAAAAATGTTCTTCTTTAGTAGTTATATCATATCAATTGGCTAAAATTTATTGCTAATAAAGTGCAGGTGAGGAAAATATTATGAAAGTGAACAGGGAAGGACAGCTCATTTGTCTTTTTATGTTTCCAAGTACCAGTATAATTTCTTCAGTCCAGACAAAAGTGCAGCTAGAACTTCAGTTTACGTTTACAAAGAATATAAATAAAAAATATAAAGCCATATGATATTTTGCTACTGTATCCATTACTATAGATCAGGGGTCTCCAAACTTTTCAATGTGCAGGCCACATTATATATTTCCCATATATACGCGGGCCAAAATAATAAAATAAATCAGTGCTAGTAATTTTATTTACTCAAATATTAAAGTATAAACATAGCAATATTAAAACATGTCTTTTTGGAAAAAATCGGGGTAAACTAAATAGATGCCTGTCTTGATGCCTGTCGAATGATGCTGTCGTTTTGACTTCAAAAATTCATTAAAATCCGGTTCCCGATTAGATGAGCCAATTGGAAGAATTGATTTTAAGATATCATCAGACATAGTTGCTCAACATTTAGATTTCACACACTTCATTTTGGGAAATGTTTGTTCACACAAGTATGTTGAACCAAAAATGGAACCAAAACTACAAGCAAACTTTATCAAATTTGGAAACTCATCTGGCTGTAGGCATTTATAAAACTCTCAATCAGATTTCCTTCTCTACACTTATCCTTCAGTCTGTCATCTGCCCGGAGATCAATAATTTTCATTTTTCATTTGAAATTGAGTTGGATGATTTTCAGCATTGCAGTCAAAATTCAGGGTTGGCAATGATTAAATCAAAATGATTAAATCATGTGATTAAATCACTTGATTTTTTTATAAAAAAATCATGATTTTTTTTTATTTTTTCGATTTTTTTCATATATTTAAATATATTGAGTGGCAGTCTTTAATTCATATTGAGGTATTGTTATTCATGGTTTAGTATAAATGTACCATAAATGACAAATTGGCATATAAACTTGTTGCCTTTAGTGTGTATTAGGTTCCAATAAATTGAATGTTTTTGGTACAGAGGCATCAAGTGTGCAATACATTGTACGTAGCTAGCAGCTTAGCTAATTCTTATAAGGCTATAAGTACTAGTCTTTAACTATTTGACTATTTGTTATATATTGATTACAATATACAATTTAAATGTGTTAGCTAGCTTATACAGGGTGGGGCAGAACTGATTGAACAGTTATGGGGCAAAATAAAAGAGTAATGGTGGTACATAAAGAAAAAAGTTTATTTACCTCAAGATTAGCATAACATACCATTTAAAATACTTATGTTTTGCAAACAATATCAGGAAAATGGGGTTTGTTAGCTGCATCACACTGTTGGAGTCGTTCTCGGAAGTTTCCTACAGCACGTTCACACATATGGCAAGGTATGGCCATAACCTCTGCTGCAATAATCCATGCCCTTTGCTGTGGTAGGGTGTGAGGGCAACTTCTGAACTTCTCTTTTAGATGTCTCCAAAGAAAGAAATCGCAAATGCTCAAATCAAGTGACCTCACAGGCTAGTGTAAATCACCCCTCAGAAACATCAGACGTCCGGGAAACATGCGTTTCAAAACATTGGGTGACATTTGGGCTGTGTGAGCTGTAGCCCCATCCTGCTGGAACCACACGTCTTGCAATGCTTCATTTTCAACAATGTTTTCCATCATGGGCTGCAAGAAATTTTGCAACATTGCAGCATAGCGATCGGAATTTGCGATCACGGTTACTCCCTCCTCCGAAAACGACTCCAAAAGTGTGTTGCAGCTAATAGCCCCCATCTTCCAGATATTGTTTTCAAAACATAAGTATTCTAAATGGTATGTTATGCTAACTTCTAGGAAAATAAACTTTTTTCTTTATGTACCTCCATTATTCTTTTATTTTACCTCAAAACTGCTCAATCGGTTCTCCCCCACCCTGTATATTGAGAGGTTGAGATTGTATTGACCTTTTAGGCAATTAGAAAGATTTACCACCCTAATACGAGTATTCTAAATAAAATATTTAATTTCAATCTTTAAATATGTGAATTTAAAACTAGAAACAAAACAATTACAATTATAAGACTATATATAAAATAAATAAATGCAGTGAATGGATATAAAATGTTTGAATTATGCACATGTTTATTTCAAACAGTATTAGATTTTCTCATAACTTAAGTCTTGTTTCAAGTCGTATGAGGTTTGTTTGGTTATCGTTCAGTTTACATTTAGTATTGGTTTATTGGTCTGAATTAAATGGGAACAGTGCAGTCAGTCACTCAGTCACTACTAGTTGGAGTGTATAGAGGGTAGAGTCTGGTAGATATCAATGTTTAGAAGATCTGCATTCCTGAAGTGTTTTTGTATATTGAAGCCAGTTAAATGGTCAATATTTAGCTTATTACCTTGCTCCATACAAACTTTACAAAGCTAATGAATAGACTTATCAATAATTGTTTACCCAAAAATCCCTAAGTGGTAAACACAACCTTGGCCTGTTGGCCATTATTGAAGGCAATAAGTGCCCTTTTTAGCCATCCATTATGATCAATATACTGTTATTGTTAGTAGGCAAATTGCAACATAAAAAATAACACATCAAAAAGACAAAAAAGTTGAAAAAATCAAAAAAATCAAATAATTCAAAATAATCATGAAAAAATAAAAAAAATCATTGATTTTTGATTTTTTTGATTTTTTTAAAAAAATCAAAAAAATCGCCAACCCTGAGTCAAATGGATTATGAAAGAACTGTGCTCCCTGAAACGGAAGCAGCGAAGCCCCTCTCGGCCTCCATACCCACAAGATACAGTTATACACAACTGATTGGTTGTAATGCACAACACATACCTTATACCAGTATTAGTATCAGTACATCACACTATCGAGAGAGAGGAAAACTGACTTGGGCTGAGCGCCACCAGTCAGCAGGCCCCAGCTTTGAATAATTATGCGATGCAATTCGTAAAATAATTATTTATTCATTTCACGATTTTGTCCGGCAGGCCGCATGAAATTATGTGGCGGGCCGGATGTGGCCCACGGGCCATAGTTTGGAGACCCCTGCCAGGCCTGCTATAGATCATTTAAATTTTTGCTTTTCACATTTAGGGACCAATTCCATTTGTGAAATAGCTCAACTAAAAATAAGATTAGCTAAATCTCAAATTTCAAATAGTTTCAACTTTCAAGATCTCCCATTGCCATTAAGAGTCCCAATCCCATTATTTCAAATTTCAAAATTGATCAGCATTTTTAAACTCCATCACATGATCACATGCCAAACCATTTAAAAATTTGAATTGCATTCAAAATCCAAACCCTATTTAAAATGGGTACCTAGAACTTGCCCTACATGAACTACAGAACTAGCGTCATGCCTTTTTGTAGATTTGTTCAAAAGGTGAATATAAAGTTGTTAACTTACCAGCACAGTGAATTTGTGAGGGCATGAAGGCAAGCAAAACAGCAGCAGAAAGTAGTCCAAAAACTCGAACATCCCAAGCCATCATCATCATAAGACAAATTCTTCATCAAATTAAAATCTATGAAAGCATTGGAGAATGTTCTACTGTGGTTACACTTTGACTGAGGAATTGTACAATATCTACTACAACTAGGAAAAAATCTGGTGAAAGAATAGCATTCCTACTGATCGCCACATTTACTATGATTTAGGCTCATTAGTTAGTTAAAAGGCTAAAAGCATTGACGGAGCTAATCACATAAAAATATCCATTTATTTCAACAATAATACTAAGAAGTTAGAGACAAAAGACACTAAAACTGTATTAGTCTAGATTAAACTAAATTGAAAACTTTTAACAAAGTGGTGACTTCTTACTTCTGTCTACTAGTAAAGTCTTATGGAAGAAGACACAACCAAATAACAAGCACTCGCACGGTTACACAGCAGTCACCAAATATAAAAATATCTGGCCGACCTCAATGCTCCTAACGGCATCCGAGATGAACTACCGTAAGCCTAACAATTTTTTTTTTAATTTGATTTTAAGACTTCGGGTGTGAAACAGTCACACCTCCCAGCCTGAGCACAACTTGATTTTTATTGAAAACTCCAACTCAACTGCCTCTTCACTTCACTTTGAATCTTTCCTCATGCTCTCACAAAGGGGTTTTTGTGTGGAAGAAAATAACAAAGGAATTAGGCACTGATAATTTTCATAGGGTGTTCACCATGCTGCATTTTAGCAGGTATTGTCCCAGGCGATGAATGACTGCAGTTCTCCTTTTTTGGGGAATATCACCCCCTCCCAGAGCTGTGATGAGGTTCCAAGGAAGTAAAAGGTTCTCCAGATTTGAGCGAAACTCCCTCCTCTGATTGATGTATAGCGAACAGTGCAAAATGAAATGCTCAATTGTGTCTTCTGTGTTGCATGTGGGGCAGATGCCGGAATTGACCAAATTGAAGCGGGCCAAGTGGGCTTTCACACCAGCATGACCAAGCCGCAGACGAGCCACAGCACATTCAACTGAGCGAGGTAGCGGTCCATAGTCCACATAATTTACTGTCTCTCCCAAGCCCAGTCTGAAGGTTCCCTTCCCTGAAGACTGCACTTCCTCTGACCACCAGAGTGACCAATATTTCAAGAATTTGTTCTTTAACAGACAGAGCCACTCCTCAAAGCACAAACTGGATCTGGCAGAGCGATCATTTGCATGTGCNGATCCTAGCAGTAATATTTATATTTTGTCTTAATAGTTTAAAAAAGCGCTATTTTGTGGAAATAGAGATACGGCCCGTTTAAGGCATTGAGACTTAAAACCAATAGTTTTATATTTTTCAGTACATTGAACGCAGTATTAGCAGCACTGGGCCTTTCTGCGGCTTCTTGGTTCGCTTACAAAGGGTTCACATTAATTGTAGACTGAGAAATCGTAAGAATAAACAGAATTTACGCTAGTATGACTATTATCCTAGACTGAATAAGCCTCTCCTTCCTATCGGCCGTTGTGCTTATTACAAGAGCTATCTCTGCTTACTCCTGTCTCTTATACACATCTAGATGTGTATAAGAGACAGCCCTTCCTACCCCCCCGCTGAGCCGGACCGGGCGATGCTCTTGCAAACGCATAAGTACTCACAATAATTCCGAATTCCCTGCCACCATGATGCACACGTATATCAGAACCTGGCTGATAGCAGCAAACAGCCCACTTCCCAATTGCTGAAATAGTTAAATAATTAGCAATGTTTTGCCCACTGAATGAGGGAGACTCAAGTGCAACCAGCTGGCGACGTGGGTTAGGATGCACAATCAAATCCTTTACTGTACCAAAAGGCGAGTTTTTTATTCCTTTGGCCAGGCCAATTGGATCTTTTAGAAAATTCATGGCATTAGGCCCTTGTGGTTTAACAAGGATGGTTCGCCCACTCCCTGCACTTTGCAGAGTGGCATTGACTGGTAGTTTCACATTTGCTAGATTGGCCTGACTGGAAGCACTATCAAACAAATTTTGCTGTCTGTGCACAGCTGGAGCTGGGCGCTTAGCCCTCCCACCACCAAGACTCTCAGTTGACCCACTCTTTTCCCGATTTCTGCGTTTTTGACCAAAACTACAAGCCTCCATTATGGCTCCATACTCCATAGCCATGGGCAATTTGGGCATTGGGTTCGGGGTTGCTGCAATGAGTGCAATCAGGCTTTCACAGTCAGATCCCTCCACAAAAATGGCATCACTGATTATGTCATCACCATCCACTTGCAAATTCACTTTCTCATGACCAGTACCAATGTACCATTGCCAGATTTACCATCTTTCAATTCTCCAGCTCCTAGCGTGATGGGCGGGCCAAAGCCTGAGCCAGTAAGGCAGCTGGACTCTTCCATGTCGGACAGTCAGACCAAGGACAAGGTCGGCTTGTCAAAAAGATAACAAGTCAACAAGACAACAACCAAGTACCTAGGCCCAACAAATAAATTCAGAAAGAGGAAAAAAACGAAGAAATAAGTGCAAAAAGAAAAGAAACAAAAATTAAGAAAAAAAAAAAAAGACTGACAAACCTCAGAGGGAGAAAGCCAGTTGAGTTTTTCCAGGAGGAGACTGAATTCACTGGAAATTATATTTATTAGGTATCCTAAGGTATGGATATGATGAGTATTAAGTTTGGCTCACAATGATTCACCAATTTCACCGGTTACTTTAGAGAACGCAATTTAACACACGTGCTTTCGCCGTGAACGCAACTGACTTTCTCCGTAAGCCTAACAAGCGCATCGGAAATTCTGAACAAGGTTAGGCCTAACGATGCAAGCGTCGGGTAGATATGTTATCACATGTCACCACAGATTGAGTAAAGCGAGTCGTCAAACTAAACTCTCTTATTATACTGCTTCTTTCCGGAATGTCCACGATAGGTAGACTTGAAATTTAAAGCCAGAATTTAGCCTTCAGAATGTCTGTTGAGCCGGTCTGGTAGCCAGTTATTTTTCCACTTTTTATTTTATTATTATTAAGTATTTTTTTTTTGAGGATGTGGGGTCGTCCCCCAGTGTCCCTCACGGCTCAAGTTGTTACTAAGTCTTCATTTTTTATTTATTCTAATGGGAGTACTGGAAACTGTTCCATAAACTTGCAACTTGCATAGTTTTGCGCCTCTTGTTGTTAGCGGGTTGAAGGTAAAAAAAATATGAGTACTCACTGCAGTGAGTGACAGAGAGCGCATTTTCTCGTCGAAGAAAACGTGAAGTCACGGACGGACACACAGACGGACATGGCGAGCACAATAGTGCATTTTTTTCATAAATGAGAAAATGCGCTAAAAAGTTGCCCTTTTGGGACTCCTAGCGAGGCCGCGTGAGAATTAACCCACGGTATTTTTTATCTATTGGAGCTCGATGGCATTGCAGCAGAAATGCCTGGGTGGATAGCTAGAGGTCAGAATAGCCCAAGTCCACAGTGCTATTCATATACCTTCCAGATCGTAACGCAGCCGGGCAACTTCACGGCTCTTGACACAAAGCGCCCACCACAACAGCGCAGTTCAGTCACAGGACGGAGCGCATACAGGCCGGAGCCCAAATGGCCGGAGCGCAGCAGGCCCTACCGCAACAGCTACTCCTAACGTAACCTAACCTAACCTGCGTCGCCTGTTGCGCTCCGGCTCTGTGAAGCAGTGGCTGTGTTATGCAAAGCAGATTTACTGTTAGCCGGAGTTACCCACAGCTCATTGATCTGAGGCTATGTGTAGATATTGCATGCTGATGTTTGGCGTTGGGCCCAGGGCCTGTTTACGAGTCAATTTTGTTACCCACGGCTGCGCTCCCAAATGCCTTATAAACAAACAGCCGTTAATTTTGTGTGACGCTGTGAAAAAAAGCCACAAATGTCATGTACGGCTGTGAAGACGGCCGTGAGACGGCGCTGGAAGTGTTGGCTCAGCCTGACGGTGTGTAGGACGTAAGATACACATGACATAGTTCAATAGCAAGAGACAATGCTCGCCAGGTAAACGACGTAATTGATATTCAAATTTGATGAACAAATACGAATGAAATACAATAAATTATTATTCAATTCATACTTTCTGTGCTGACGAGGCATCTCAGCCCGCACTGGGACGGCGGGTGTGCTTCACGTTGATAATAATAATAATAATATAGCGGTGTCAGCGTTGATTAGGCCGTAGGCCTGTTGCCGATTCTTAACATCGCAGAACATTCACACATTTTGCGGTCTCGAACTCGCAACTCACTGCTACAAATCTGCTTTGCTTAACCGCCCGGCTTCCGTGCCGATTCTGGCCAGAAACTGACGCACAGAGCTGGGATCGAACCCGGGCCTCTCTGCGTCAATAATGGTACTCTGAACTTTAACCACTGGGCCACTTTAAGCCACCATTATAATGCAACAGGAAGCGCGCCATCGTAGTTACCAACGCTGTGGCCACATTTATTCCTTTGAATTTTCATATATGAACTACATTTTTATTCCGTCTATCATCTCATATTTTCGTTCGTTTTAAATAATATAAAGCGACATTCATAATAATTGTGATGTAGGGATGAATGTCAGAGAGCAGCATTTGCCAATTCCATCATCCCTTTCTTATTCCTTCCCGTACACAATCATACTACTGAGTAGAGTAGCCTATGAAGTTAAGGGCTTAGAGCCTTAAGGCACCATTAAGAAGCCACTGCTCAAGCTACGGTACTATAATCATGGAGGCTACACCCGCCCAAGCACGCGCCTTCCTCTACTCTTGCCCTGATTTTCCACCCAAACAAATCTTTCCTGATTTAACCAAACCTCTTTGGCTGCAGCAAGACGGAGAAGCGGGGCAAGTGGAGGGCCGGAGCAAATAATTGCTGCAACTTTGTTATGCTTAACCGCGCGGCCACCTCGCCAATTTTGACCAGAACTATCGCAGGTAGCTGGGGAAGATCTCGCAACTCCTTGCCTCAGTCATGGCACTCTTGACTGTAACCACTGGACTACCCTGTCGGTGATTACATTAAAAAATGTGCTAACAATAGAAAACGCTGAAGTCAAGAAAGGAAATGAGTTGTCAAACGCTATAGGATATATATTGAAAAACATCTGATGCATAGATAACAAACACTGATGACATAGATGAGCGTTAATGGAATAACACTTTAGTTATCCAAAATCTTCTGTTGTTTAAAGCTCACGAGATTCAGGAGGCCTTTGTTTCCCTTCTTTATTTTTCTGAGAGTCTTTCGATTTTCGGAAAAATCCAGAGAAAGTAAGAGATTCTTGATGAAATTTAATAGGCACAACGCCTAGATGGCCGCCAAAGCGATTTTTCACGACCTGAGTGCAGAAGAGTACAGTACATTTAGATTTGTAAGTTATCCATTGATTCAGACTCTCGATTTTCTCTTCCATGTGGCTGGCATCTAAGGACTAAGAGTTGCAAATAAACAGTTCCTTTACTATTTAGAAGATTGCTCAAGAAGTTACTCATTCGTGGCCACTTCTATGCCACATTTAAATAAAACCAGCATAAAAAGATGTTCACCTAAAAAATTAATACCACGAAACTCCTATATAAGATATGGAATGATTATTGACAATCAATAGGGATTCAGAGTGAGATCTCATTTTCATCAAATCCTTACCTCAATTGCCTTCCTGCAGGACACGGGGTTAGAGCCCTGAACCTGTAGTAGCATAACATTGTCCGCCTCTTGCGTTACTCTCGCTCCGCCCCCAATGCTCTGCATTGTCAGTAACTCGTCCGCCTGAAGCTGAGACGAGAAAAACCTTCAGCATAATAATGGTCCTCGTTCTACAACAATGTCACTCAAATTGTCGAGTATTGATGATCTGTGCACAGATACAAATTCAAAATTGAAGGCCGTCAAAGTTGGCCATTTAAACAAGCTCAATTTCTATCAATTACTTGATTAGCCATGCTACGATTATCATAAGAACTTGTAGCTTTAAAGATTTTTCTGAAAAACAAGTAGCACAACTTACGCAGAATATTAAAATATCAAATTCTAACTTCTCAACATTTGGTATTATATTTGGTATACAAATATGCCAAACCAAATATAATAAACAAACGTTAACTTTAAACCAAATACTAGTCTTTACTGTCACAAAAACAGTTGATTCAAAGTAGGGGGTCAAACGGAACCTAGCTGCTGTGGATAAAAATTATGATGCTCTAAGAAAAGTACAAGTGAACACAAACCTTCCTGGGATGAAAATTATGATGCTCTAAGAAAAATACACCTTCCTGGGATGAAAATTATGATGCTCTAAGAAAAGTACTAGTGAACACAAACCTTCCTGGGGTGGACTATAAGAGTGACGTGGCAGCCGAATTGCGTAGCAAAGCTTCTGAAGGCGGCCATTGCCAGGTCCTGGTGCTGCCAGCGCTCAGAAAAGCTTCTCTGACATCCAACCAGGAATTGCAGGTTGTCAACCACAACGTGGCGAACGCCACGCACCATCACGCTCTCTCGTAGGGCCTAAATATGAAATTAATAAATTAAACTTCAATGCAGCTAGTATTCAAATAAAAAATCATAGATATTTTTAACACCATTGCAGGAAAATAAATCAGCATCTGACATCGCAGCAGACGACTAAACGAGTCAAATTCGAGCTTCTTCTATCAACATTTGCAGAGGATTTTTCATTTTATTAACAATATTTAGCATCGGCTCCGAGCACTGCGAGTTTTGATCAGTGCATAAAGAGATGCGCAATCAATCCCACCAGTTGCCTCAGTACTGGCAGTTGATCTACGAGTGTCAAGAAATACAAAGGATATTATCTAGCTTATCACACTAACTTCAAATATCTGAAATATTCTGAGGATTTAAAAACTGAATAAGTGCTTCATTAGACATTTCGTAATCTCCGGCAAATCTTAGCAGTGATGTAGAACTTTAGAATTAACGGTCACACAAAGGAGAGCAAAGTAATTCCCAAACGACGTTGCAATCAGTTTTCATTCATAGAGCTCTCATTATCATTCACTAAACTAACTGTAATACGCTATATACAAGTCAGCTTTCAAAATGTAGGTATTCAAAAACCTGGATAACTAAAATACAATCAGTCTCAAAAACATCTCTATTTTCGTTACCGTGTCAAACAAGACACTAGAAAACGTATCAGAGTTGTACACACTTGCATGATCACTTCCAGCTCTTGCTGGCCGTGCACGTCGAGGAAGTGGAGAGGTACTTGTTTAAAAAGATAGGACAGGGCATCAAAGGATGTGCGGTCTGTAGGCAGCGGTGCACCAGAGTATTGCTGTAGGAGAACCTCCGCCAGGCGCTCTACTGAGACTTCTAAGCTTGCCCAGAGTGTCACCACCTGAAACGAAAATTTAGTTTCAAATTTCTGAAGCAGATATTGAATTCCATATAATAATGATGAATTATGATTGTTTTAATCGGCATCCAACAATTTATATTTTCTAGCTTGAATCTTAATTCCCAAATATCGTACGTTTCAGAGCATGTCAAAGCATCAATTAAATTTCCAACGATAGGTACTTAATTTATGCTTGATTGCTACGAATAAAAAGTGAGAAACACGTATTCGAGTGCTGCAACAACTGTTTACAGGCAAAAATGAGTTATAATAAGAAAAAAGTCGATCATTTTATACAAGCAATAGAATACTGCTCTAAAATGAATAGCACATCAACAAATTTGACAAATACCTTCAGTTAGACAAATTTTTTCCTGTGCCGTCAAAGAATATGGAATTTACTGAATTCAAGGGTCAGGAAAAAATTTTACAGAATGCCCCGTAAATGAAGATAATGGAAGAGCATACAAACCCCTTGAACTGCCAGGTCGAGGGAATATTCAGCAAGGAATGTGGTTTTTCCAGCACCCGTTGGTCCGGACACGACAGTGACTTCGCCAGATCGATGGCCCAGCAGCACTCGGTTCAGTTCTGGAAACCGAGCCCACGGCACGCCACGTACCTGGAACATTAGCTTGCTTATATTCTAACACGTATACAGGGCTTTCAAAAGAAAAATTCTTGATACCATCTTCCATTGAAAACATAAATAACGTTATGTATCTCTGACAGACCATACTTAAGAAGAGTTAAAAAATTGATATCACGATTGAAAATAGGAGTGATTAATGATATTAAGAATATTGAATTCAAAGCCAAAATTACTCACAAATTTGTAGGTGGTTGTTTACCTCGCAAGGGTGTTTAATACGATGATAAACCTTCTCCTTTATATTGTCATAAGTCAGGAGCGAGTTGCTTAGGCGTAGCTGTTGGTGTGTTAGAAGTCGAGCTAAGATCTGATCCTTGTTCAGTTGATGCAGCTCCAACTCACTGGACGTACTGAAAAATTCGGTCATTCTTCAAGCCAAAAAATCCTATCATTTCGGCGCTTGGTGCCTTAGGGACATTATAAACTTCATTGCTGGTGAAATAAGTAGATATTCAATTGACATAAATTCAAAAATTTTCTGGACGTATTTCAGATGCAATACTACTACCGTACCATCAAGCACAGTTAATATGTCAAAACTACACACTTAACAAAGTTGCATGCAATGCCAGCAGAGCTGATGAACTTGTAAAAGCGGTATGGCAGGACAAAGCCCTGATTCAACCACAGCAGCACACGCTTCACAGAACCTGGCAGACCCCACAAGTTGACAGAACCTGCACAGCATCACTAATTCAATTAGAGCAAATACAGTAACTTTGAATAGATTAGAACAAAATTAGGTACAGTAGTAACATAGAGCATTAAAATTGACTTTTGAGCATTCAAGTTCTAAAAATATTTATTACATTAGCATGCCTCATCATATATATTCTCATATATATGTCTCATCTTAGAAAATTTTTCAAATCAAACAGTCACGATACTAAATGAAAAAAAGGATTTATACAATAAGTAAATAAATCATACAATAATGTATAAATTAATGAAATTTCCAAGGATTGTGACAATACATACAACTAAGCCTTCAACTATAGTACATATATCTAAGAATTCACATGTAAGCAACCATCTATGCTAACCATGAGATCCATTCAAAGGGAAATTGTTTTCTAATGTATCCCAATGCTTGGAGCCCCCTGCAAGAACTGAACAAGGGATATTCAGTTGGGCTAGATGAAGAGCATCCAAAATTGATGATACCACAAGTAGCTCAGTTGGTGAACGACCTGCAGCTTCTGTGGGGCTAGGGATTATGAGTGATGACCAGGCACACATATGGCCTTCCACAAATCTTGATACGATCTGCATGAATGAACGAAAAAAAAATTAGACACCTAATAATTGCATGCATGATGAGGCGAACTTCATCTACGACTGTAGCATGCAAGAAACAAAATAATATACATAATTAAAAAATGTTTAGCCATCCAGTCATGAATTTAAATCCTAACATTCAACAATACACAAAGGAAAAGTAACTAGTATCTGGAAAATGAGTAAAATGACCACCTGTGGGGACTTCTGGAGGAGTGGGATGCTGAAGTATCCAACTGGCTGCAATAGGTTGTTTCTTGAACCACTTATATTAACCATACTTTGATCAATCATAGGACGATATACAGGTACTATCAGTCGACTACCATCAGAACTGGAGCGGCAGCCATACTGCTTCAAGACATCTAAACTCAAGCCCTGAAATGTAAACAAAGAATGGTCATTAGGAAAACAGTTTGATATGAATAAATAGATAGAAAATTGTACACTGAATTATTGATTTTACACAAAAATCTACTGCTCCTATCAAGGATCACTGAGCAAGCCAAAGAATTATAACTTATACAGACTAAAATGTATTGCTCACCTTGCAAGGAGTGCTTTTGAGTGATGATAAGAAAGTTTCATTAAGAGGAAGTGTTGAGTGGAGGAAAGAATGCAGCTGTGAACAAGTCAAGACATCTTGCTTGGCATCCAGCAATTGACAAAGCTCTTCCCATGTACCAGCCTTACAGCACCACGGACAAACAAAATAACCTGCAAATGTGCATAAAAATGGCTGATGCTCTGATAATATTCATCATATAGCTATTAAAGTAAATGGATGAATATAAACAAAATTGTATACATAAAAATGTTAGCAGGATACTGAAATTATCATAAACTTTACTGTAGGTAATGAAATTATTAATAAATTTAGAATAACTTGAAAATACTTGCCTGTGTTTTTATCAACAAAAATATCTTTGTGCTGGGTTGAGCCACAGGAAGAGCTGCATGTAGGACATTGTACAATGAAGCTGCAGTCTGTCTCGTCAAAATCAATTGCTCGAGAACTAAGGAACTCTGCTATCTCTTCTTCCAATTCAAAGTCATTCCAGTTCAAGTCATTTTCATCTTCAGGACACTCAATTTCAGTAATTATGCCAACCAAATAATCTGGTATGTTGGAGCTTAACTTGTGAAAACTTGTGTGCAAGCAATGTTTTGATGAATCTGGAGGCCTACTAATTTTCACCAAATTATTGTATTGTTTATTCAATCCCACTGAGGTAATGGACTCTACTGAATTCCTAAATGGAAATAATGGTATTCCAGAACAAAATAATTTTGAACAAACATGATTAATGCTCAGAATAGGAGGATTAATTGGCTTTTTTGAGCGTATTACTGCAGTTTTGACTGATTCAGCTGAATAGATTATCCCATTTTTATAGTTTCCAATTGTATAAGACCTATAAGACAAACAATTAAATTGCTTGTAACTAACAATATTAGAGTTGGGAATATGGCAGTCATGCCTTGCTTTTCTTTTCATCAAAGGCTGTTTACACAACACAGACCTGCAGGGGTGGTGAAATATTATAGGTTTTGCCATGTGCAGCAACGCCATGTCTGAAACATGAAGAAACACCTTTAATGTTAGTATTAATTTCACAGAAACAAAGAGGAAATTAGCCTTATTCCTTAGTATAAGCATTAAACTATGCATAAAAGTTAAAAATTAAGAGTAAAGAATAAAAAATTTTTTTCTTATGCAAGTTTAGGCCTTTCCTGGCTTTAGATGCTTTAAATATAATAATAAAATTAGGTTGAAAATATACCTGCTTTACCAAGTTTATTTTAGTCTCTCACTATCTGTTTTCTTGTTACCCAATTTATGATGGGCTGAAGTTCCCTAAAATTGCCAGATATCAAAAAAATGTGATAAAATTAAGATTTTTTGCTTTTGTTAATACAGCAATCCCTTGATTAGCACGGTTTTGAATACCGCGGTTTTGATTAATGCGGAAAAAAAATTTGCGACCTACCCTTAATCTACGCGGCGCCAGTTTTGATTAGCGCGACTTTTTTTTTCACAACGCATCATTTTCCCGCCTCTAGCCAGAGGTGTTACATTCGTAACGAAGGTGTTACTTTTTGCTTATTAGATCTTATGTTGTTACTATTGTTACGACTTTTGGAAAAATTCGCCAAATGTTGTTTCTTTATGAATTTCAGCCAATAATTCTTTAAATAAGGTCCCGTTCCGTAGGCACTTGTGCTGACTACAAAGTTGGTTTAACCGCGCTCTCGTTCATAATTCGAACGATCGAGTTCGGCAACGTTCGCCGGTAAGCGCGCCATGCCGGTGCTCTAGCCCTTTAAACCCTGGTGTGACGAATTCGTCACACAGAAAATAAAAGCTTCTCCCGAGAGTAATTACATGTTTGGAGTCTAGCCACGAGTGTGACGGTAGCGTCACATGTTGTGAACTCGTTCGAACGACGTTCGATGGAGTAGGCGCGTCGTTACTGCCAGTACAACACAAAGACTGCGCGTGATCTGAAAAGTAATTCAGATTGTTTTTTCACTTTCGAAACATAATTCAGTGCGTAAAGGGCTAGTTACTCGTTAGCCTTCAACTGGTCAATATTGCTGCCATATCTACTGCTCACTTTTATCAAACTACATAATTTTCCTTTCCTTTGCTATTTTTGAGGATTCATTATAATTATTCCCATATATTCTTAAGTTTGATTAGCGCGGTTTTGCTTAACACGGTAAAACTCGGGGATTTATTAACCGCGTTAATCAAGGGATTGCTGTATGGAACAAATTTGGAAAAGTTCATAGGAACAGCTGAAATTGGCCAGATTCATGGATGTGTTAGTCTGATTCATGAGTGGCTACTACCCAATTTTCTAGTTTGGCTTGCTACACAATCAAGTACGGTATATATATCTGACTAAATTTTGTCAAATCTTTTGAACTATTTGCAGAAGGACTTTCGGGAAAAAATTCTGGTATTGAAATTTTTGTGTTGCATCATATATAGATACATTAAACAATGATACCAATATCTAAAAAAAAACATTATTCTAGACACAAATATACTGATTTACTGGATACAGGTCCTGCCTTATGGCTTATGTAAAATACTTAAATAGTGACAGCAATTGCAGTTAAGCCTGCCTTCAGCCTGGCAGCTCAGGCTCCAGGGTCTTTTTCCCTGCCAATCCAATGAATTGGAAAAAAAATTAAATTCATAGTGGCAACAGGCAAAGCAGAGACTTTTTTAGGCTCTGTCACAAGTTCCTGTTTGAAGCATCCCTAAAGAAGCTTGACCAGTAAAGTATCATGGTCCATTCAATTCATGGATACCAGCATTATTATACTTAGACATTAAATAACATATTGAACTATCATTGGAGCCAATAACGCAGCCAACAGCACTAAAGTTGCTGCCTTCAATGGATCTGACATAATTTATTTCTATAACTGAACTAGCCCTATCAATCACAATTGAAAAAGTTTTTAGTTATTAAATGTCAATGTAATTTTATGAATAATAGTTCTAACTAGTATTTGTTTTCATGACAAGCAGCAGGGCATGATGGAATCAGGCATTGCAGCATCAGGCAAGCAGCAGGGGCCGTGTCAATCATCAGGCATTGAATACATTGGTCATAAAGTGGGTGTGTACTTGTTGAACATCAGGCATAGCCAAATTGATTGTAAAATGCATGCATCCATGTCAATCATCAGGCATCTACTACATTGGTGGATGGTGGTAAAGTACATGCATAAGTGTTGATCACCAGGCATTGGCCGCATTGATCGTAAAGAGCAAGCATCAAAATCGATCATTGGAAGTGCGCCACATCGATTGTAATATGTGTAATTCTGTGTCAATCATCACTCAGGCATCAACTACATTGATCATAAAGTGCTTGCATGAGTGTTGATTGTCAAGCATAGGCCGCATTGATCGTAAAGCGCAAATATCTGCGTCTATCAATGAGCAACAGCTGCATTGATGGCGCAAGTGCGTGCATCATTGCCAGCTATCGCGCATCAGCCAAATTGATCGTAAAGCGTGCATATCAGTATCGATCATGAAGCATTGGTCAGACATGCACTTTCATTTTTCTAGCAAACATACTGGCAACATTCTTTACTGGCATGCATCCCAAAATGAACCACCGGCCGTCCAGCGCACACAACGCACCTTCCAGACCACAGCGCATAGTAGCAAAGCAGAGAGTTTTTTAGACTCTCCCACAAGTTCAATTTTGAGTACTATAAGTAGACCAGTAAAGTATCATGGATACGGTACTAGCATTATCATGCACAAGAAATTTGTTTAAATATTCAGTAAATGAGGAAATTAAAATGAACCGATTCTAAAAAATCTCTGGTTTGCCATTATGCCGCAGCAACCAGGATGCCGATGCAAGGTTAAGATGGCTGATGAAGATCCTCAAAAGATGCCAATATCTCCAGCTAAAAAGGCCCTACTTTACAGCCTGCCACCTGGGACTAGCTTCTGCCCAATTATCCAATTTTAATTAATGGTAATCAGTGGAATGTAGATGAGGAAAATAAAAATGAAATGAAATCTCTTAACAGTCACTAATCAATGAAAAGGTTTCAGAATAGGATCATAATTGATAATAGATGCAAATAAAAAATTATAAAATTATATAAGCTTATACCATCAAATAAATGGCAGGCTGTCAAAGATAAATTACAGGCGGGGTAAATTGGGACGCACGTCCCACATTTCATAGAAATGTTGTAGCAGCTTAACTAAATAAAATATTGCAAAACTAAAAATAGTGGCGTAAACTTCAACATTTTTACTATCTATTATGTATAAAGCCAGCCAAGAAATCAAACATTTATTATTTTAAAAAAATTGCTGAAAAAATGTGAAAAGTGCGATTTTGGAAAAGTACTTCTACTAAGGTCTGGAGCAAAAAAATATTTGCCATATTAATAAATTGTACTTACATAAAAGTTGCACACAGGTGTCAGCTTGAAAACGCAATTGACAGAATTGGCCCATCTTATTCCCCCCCCCCAAAAAAAGGCAGCCATTTTTGCGCAACGGGGTAATAAGGGACATCCCCCCCTGCTGCCCCCAGGGTAATTAGGGACAAGTCCCGGACAACCACGGGGGTAATTAGGGACAACCCTAAAACACATTTACAGCAGATCCTCTGTTAGCAACAGCCACAGTTAAGATAAATATGGGTTAATCACAAAGATTTTTGCTTAAATTTCAAATTTAGGCAAAAATCTAAATTTAAATTTAAATATAATCTTCTTGGGGAGCAGAACAGCCTGGATGTTAGGCAAAACTCCTAACATCCAGGTCACTCAATGCATTGGTCACTCCCTAGTCCCTAAAGAAGCTTGTTGAGCTCCTCAGGACCTCATCGTTACATTACATCTGAAAGGAAGAGGAGGACTTTGGAGTAATGCTGGTAATAGGTGAGTCGTGAGTACAATCTGCAGTCTGCATGCTTCAAATGTTTAAAATTGAGTTTTATTTCAAGTGTCCCTTTTTACCCCATTTCCAGATAAATTCAGGAGCCTTTTACATTGCATCTAGCACCTTACAAATAGCATAAGGAATTTTTTGAAGTAGCCATTCAATAGCCCTTGCAAAGAGCTATAAATTGAGCCTAAACTTGTTTGTGAAATGTTTCATGGTAAGAAGTTATGAACAAAAAAAATGCTCAAAACCGTCCATTTTTACCCTGTTTGACGGTGCCTATCTTACATAATCACGTTTATAAAATAGGCCTATAAGCTTATGCTATCTTACATATTACATAATCATGTCTAGCCTAATACCACGGTAGCCGGTGACCGGTAGGTACTAGGTACGTGACGTCTATACAATAGAAATTTAAAAGCAAAGAAAACTCCACAAAAACTCAGCATTTCTCTATTGAAAACGTTTTGGAGACCAGCTCCATCGTCAGTTTGATAAATCTAGAACACAAATACAGTCAGAAAATTAATAAAGTTTGGAGTCATAAGGAAAAAAAACAAAAACAACAGAAGTTAAAACCTAAATTTACAGGCAAATGGCAGAATAATAAAGAAATACTTATCTATTCACAATTCCTAATGGATAAGAACTGTAGGCAGCATTTTAACTAGGCTTCTCTTTAAAAATATACAATGATTCCAAAATGTGCAAATCGGAAGCACCAGAACTATAAGCTAAAATCTTAAAGTCAGTGTCGGACACCAGAATGTTGCACTGTTTGGCGTGAGTGCGCACAGCCAAATGAGGAGAGCGTGATAGTAACTGCCCAGTCCTATAACTCCTCCCTTTATGCTCAGCAACCCTAGTATAAAGGTTGCGTGCCGTCATTCCGACACGCAGATGCACATCGTGCACAACTAAATTTATAAACTAGGGACGATTGCATGTGAGAAGGGAGGTTATCTTTGTACCTAAAAAATGAACCTATTTTGAAATTGTTAACCAGTAAGATACAAAGATTAATGTCCGGAAAGTATTTCATAAACAAATCTTTTAATTCTCTTGACATAACTTCGGACGCATGGCCGAAGTATGGAAAAGAACAGTAAACCACTTTTCTACCATTAGGCTCTGGAACAACTTTACTGTATCGCTTAGACAT